TGAAGGACAAGAACCAAATCATTACTTCTCTTGGTTTCCTCAGTCAAGGTTTCTTCGCTGCCAGCATGCTGCTTTTTATACTGTGCTGGCTGCTTGTAGACTCTTGGAAAGAGATTCTGCTTGTTTTCTGCAAATAAATCTGTGACTCGAGCAGCCTGCAGGTACCCAGTTCTCCAGATTACATGGATGGAAGCTTGATTGTCCTAGCCCATAAATCAGGACCCTGAAGTGGATGAGTGCAAGCCAGTAAATTATACCTGTAGGATACAGGTACAATGCACCACACTTGTAGGATATATCTCTCCTGTATATGGGTATATGCTACAAAACACTGTGTAACTTCCAGTACAAAGAACTGTAGATACCAGCATCTCTGCTGCTGAGTACAGTCCCTCATGGGAAAAGCTTACCACTCTGATTAGACAATGTCAACCTTGTGATATATGAAGCCTTTTGGGAAACACAGGATTAAATTTCTCTGGAAAAAACATTACCTCGGAAATTGTTGGGCTGATAGGAAGGCAAAGCCGGCAACTGCACCAGGGAAGACACACAGGCTGCATCAAGCCGGGGAGCTAGGATTAAACCCTACAGACCATTTCAAGAGGTTGCATTAAGGGCTTCAGGCTAACCTGTGAGTGTTTGGGTCTTACTGTTTTGGCTAGTGCAATGAGCAGCCTGGGTTACGATCCCAGTCAGCTGCCCAGCCACCGGTACCCAGCCTGCCTGGTGCCAGAACGCTGAGGTGATGGACACACGTAATGGGAACAAAGGCAGTGGTAGGAGGAGACAGCAGCGGCTGATGCCAGGAAAGCATAACTATAATCCTCATGGCTTTGAAGTGTCGGTAAGATCAGACTGTAGGGGTGCTCCTTATTTGACTGGAAAGAGATAAATGCTTTCTTTCTTCACAATGGCACAGTGCTTCCTAGTTTGGAGTAAAGTTATTTCCCTTACGAATCTTTCATTCTCTGAGAGCGGCTGAGTGACCAAAACACCACCACAGAGCTGTGTTCGAAAGTGCAGACTCAGGACACTGGCTTCAGCTTTGGACAAACTTGAATATTTGAGCCTCAGATCTCCCTGGAACAGGCCAGAAGAGAGTCCCATACTTGTACCAGAGAAAAGCGTCATGCTTCTGGTGCAGAAACCAGAAGGTTTTCGAACATGTATTGGGACAAGCAACACTTCCATAGAAATAAGAGAGGGACTGCTCTCAACTCTAAGTTTCTTTTCAAGGGCAGATGAATGGTTTTATGCCCTCTGTATCATTTACAGTAAGCCATTCCAGGAGATACAGAGATCTAAGGGTATCTAGGCTTGTCTACAATAAGATGAATAGCAAGTATTTTTTACCTCTGAACTTGCAATGGCTTCTTTTTCATTATGTAAAATACAGACGTGTTTTGGATTCACAGCTGTCATTACCATTTGTTGGAATAATTCCTTGTGCATACATATGTGTCTGCAGAGGATGCCTGCAAGCTGCTTGTCGGGACAGGTCCTGTGACAGCTCCTGGTCTCTACACAAGGGGATCTACAGAAATCCGAACAGAAATCACTTTTGGAAGTGGAGCACAGGGGGGTAGCCAGCCTGCTACAGCAAGAGTCTCAAGCTAGCCAGGAAAATCCTGAGGGGAGTGGAGTGAGGAAACTGCCTTTTTACCATCTTCTTTTAAAAAGATGCAAGTATCCGGTTGCAGATTGTATGCTTGCTGAGATCCAGGTCTTGGATTCAACAGATAATCAGAGTTAAGTGGCAATAAGACCTGGCAAATGGTTCTCATACGATATTTATCCTCAAAGAGGACATGATTTTCTGTCTTTTGATTACACCAAAAACAAAGTCCTCAAAAGGACTCTGTAGGATACTGCCTCTGATCCAGGCAGGACCAAGTACAAAGTAATATATTTAGAACTTGGGATTTGATTCTGACCAATATGAAATCTGAAAGCTTTTGATTTGCAGGGCAACATTCTCTGCTGCCCTTGTCTTGGTTATTGCACAGCAGGTTCATAGTCATGTATATCATATCTCACAGCTGCAGCAGTGAGTTCAGTAACCTTCGCATTACTGGACCATGGCAGTGAGGGTGATGGAAGGCCAAGTCCTGGTGTCTGGCAGAAACTCAAGAGCTTTAAAAGCTACACATTATCAGAGAAACAAAAAGGGGACTGTGATGGGTTAGGTCATTTAATTTTCAATTTGCTGCAAAAGTGATCAGGCAATCCAGAAGGCAGCATAAAATACACTGACCTGTCAACAGAACAGGATGAAGCAACTTCAAATGGGACCAATTAAAAAAAAAAAAAAAAATCCAAACCCACACACTAGAAAATACAAGCAGGATAATCTGGCTCTTTTCTTTCCACAATGTATACATTTAGTACCAGATCTTGGCGTATGGCCAGAATCCTTACTTGGCCGGTGAAGTGTAAAGGCAAATATATCTGCTCAATCAAGCCAGCACCACTGGATTTTGATAATTTTCATTAGCTGGCTCAGATTCCTTTAGTGCTCCAGAACAGAATGGGCTGCACGAGTACTTTGATGCTGGCTGTATTGCAGACACCGTTCTACCTTCCCTGGATGCACTGGGAATGGAGACAGTAAGATAGACAAAGAAACCTAAATGAGGAGCACCACAAACCTGTTACTTTTCCTTCTTATTATGATGGAATGAGCTAAGTTTATGCTTTTGGAGGCAAAAAGGACCTGCATATCCCTCCTCCTCCTTCTGGCAACTTTGTAAACCAGCACCACTGAGAGCAGGAAAACTCAAAATCTGGAAGTGTAAATTTCATCACCAAGGACCATCTGGGAGACTTTTTTTACATATAATCAGGCTAACTTTTACTCTCCATGCCACAGTAATTCCCAATAAAAGATTCAGATTTCAGTGGCTCATGTGGACCGCCATCCTATGGAGGAGGAGTAGGGTGCAATAAAAGATACTGGGTGAAATTTTCAAGAATGTCTAGTAGTTTTAGAGAGTACCTTCAGCAGCTTTTCAGCAAATCATATTATTTTACACAGCAAATATTCAAATGTCTCTAGGCACTTACAGCTGCCGACTGTAATGCTTAGCAGGATTTTCAAAGGCAAGTAATTTTTACAAATCCAGTTTGTACCTGTTTGTAGCATTAGATTTCTAACTGTGTCAGGAGAGATGTATTTTTAGTCTGGAAATGTTGCTCTAAAGCACTCTGAAATTTCATGCTAAACATCCTGTTTTACCAAATTTTTCCTCAAACTTTGATTTTTCCACTGGCAGCACAAGCTGAAAACGTTGCTATTCCAATTTCTAGCCGTTGAAGTAATTGTGATTTCTGCATTGAAACGTAAATGACTATAATGTACAAGAGGAGGAGTCTGGTAAAGATCTCGTTTCCTCCTTTAATTGAAATACTTAGCAATCAGAATGAAAAAGAATAAATCTTGAAATGATAGTGAAGCTTTAATGAAATGATTCCTATCCATTCACTTGCACATCAGTTGTGGTACATTAGTCCTTTTAGCATGGTCCTATTAATCTCATGCCTCACTTTCATGATAGTCACTGTGCTGGCATTTCAATACTACCTTTATTAAAAATCCCAATACTTACACTGTTTATGCTTCAAAATCTAGTATTATTTGAACTGCTTTTCTGCCAGGTGGGGAGTTGAAAAACTTATAGTGATCTGTTAAAAAAGAGATGGGAGTAGGCTGAGCTACCCATTAGCATCAGTTATTGTGTCACTGCCTTCCCTGCCATCACATGGAAGCCAAGAGTTTGGGTGGAAGTTCCCAGCTACAAGGCAACGCCAATCTCAGGTTACCGCAGGACCAAGTTCTACCAAAAAATGCAGTTACAGCATGACAAACTGAAAAGAAATATGAAAGCACTAGCCTTGGGTTAATTTTAATGTTATTATTGTATTAATCAAATGGCTTCAGGAAACTAGAAACAGAACATTTATAATGCTTTCTTGGGATTTTTTTAAAGAAAAAAAAATTATCCAAAATAAACCAAAGCAAAACCAAACCAAACAAAAAAAACCCCTAAACTATTTATATGTTTCACTTTTAAGGATAAAAAATTCTAACCAAACTCATTCTTTTTCTTTTAAATGTACACAGAAATTCGATGATGTCTGTTCTCTATTATAGAAATGCTTAACTCATGGCAAGCCTCAAAAAAGAAGACTTGAAAAAGCCTGTAAGAAATAAAACAGACTGCAGTTGCCTGCTGGATATCACATCATATATCTCACCAGAAAGAAAAGCCACCAATTTATCAAAATGTATCTGAAAGGGAGAAATTGAGTCAGTTCCACATGGCCAGTCCTTCTGACTCTTTAATAGATACATTTTGAAGCATCACTGCAGATAACAGGGCAAGAATTACTACTAATTTTGTCATGTTAGAACTATGTTTTGGTGCTCCCCAATTTCTTTGGGCTCACAGGAAACAAAATTAGTATGAATACGTTACCATGTTACCTGTATTTGAAATCCCATGGACAAATGTAACCTTTTACAGTCCTTCAGAGCAATTAACAAAGATTAAACAATGCTAAAACCCCATTATTGCTTCACTTCTGTTTCTCTTCTGTTTTTCAAACATTCACCCTCCCTACTTCATAAATCCTTATTATGTGTCACATGCCACATTGATATTTTTGCTTTCCCACTGTGTCAGTCAAGTAACTGCTACAAACGTGTGAACTATTAATCAGCTGGGATCGCTTTCAGAAAGTTTGGCTTTCCATGCAAACAACTTCAAATTATCCATATAGTGACTACATATCTGCATTTTGCTGTCGCCAAGTCCATGGGATCTGATGCTTGGCTGTATAACTTTTATTTTATACACAGTGTATATATACATAAGTGTATATATATACACATATACACACATATATATACATATATAATTATATATGTATACATTCACACACATATAAATATATGTATGCATTGTTTTTTGCAAATGAAATCAGAAAGCAAGCAAAACAAGACTGACCTGACTTACCTGTACTGGGCTCACAGTCAATGAAATCTTCATCATCGCTGGAACATTCAGCTGATGAAACGATGTCATCTGTTGTCTGGCGTGTGAAGGAAAAGAACGAAGGAAAAAGAAAAGAGGAAGAAAAAATACAAGTTACAAGTCAAGAGGTTGTTACAGCAGCAGCTAAGTATCCAAGAAAAAAAATGTTTCATAATTGTAACTTTTAAAATATTTAACTTGTACCAAGCATTCCAGATGTGCCTGTGTAAATGCGCCCGCCTTGGAGCTGGAGTCCCCCGTCAGAGGACTAGCGCTGTTGACTATTTCAGGTGTGCACAGGCGTGAGGTGCCTGCCGGGCAGTTCAGGTTCGCAGGCAGACCGCGCTGTGCTGTTGAAGGCGCTAAGTACAGCAGGCTGTGACACCTGCTTGGCTGCCAAACCGCCCCCCGACAGCCAAAGTAGATGTGTCCAGTTGGAACATGCTGGGCTCCTCAATAAATACCAATGCCACGTAGGGCCAGCCAGAAGGCACCTACTGAGAGACTTACCGTAGGAGGCATGTTCAGGCTGAACATGCTTCTGCAAAGGAAAACATACACGATGGACTCAGAAAATACCAGGCAGCCAGCAGTACTCTTCTCTATGTTGCTAGATGCATCACTCTGAGGCAGATGTAATTCCTGCTCTGCTAATGCATCTCTTGGGCTGGGAATTCTTTGTATTTACCCAGCTAGTAAATACCTGTATGACCCATTTGCTGTAAAATGAAGAGCTGCTGAAAGGTCAACCGTATCCTGGGCTGCATCAAAAGCAGCGTAGCCAGCGTATCGGGGGCTGCACCAAAAGCAGGGTAGCCAGCAGGTGAAGGGAGGTGATTCTGCCCCTCTGCTCCACTCTGGTCAGATCCCACCTGGAGTCCTGTGTCCAGCTCTGGAGCCCTCAGCACAGGAAAGACATGCACCTGTTGGAGAGGGTCCAGAGGGGGCCACAAAAAATGATCAGAGGGACGGAACACCTCTCCTGCGAGGAAAAGCTGAGAGGGCTGTGGTTGTTCAGCCTGGAGAAGAGAAGGCTCCGGGGAGACCTTACTGCAGCCTTCCAGTACTTGAAGGGGGCTTCTAAGAAAGATGGGGACAGACTTTTTAGCAGGACCTGTTGCAATAGGACAAGGGGTAATGCTTTTAATCTAAAAGAGGGTAGAGATTTAGACTAGAGATAAGGAAGAAATTTTTCACCATGAGGGTGGTGAAACAGTGGCACAGGTTTCCCAGAGAGGTGGTAGATGCCCCATCCCTGGAAACATTCCAGGTCAGGTTGGACAGGGGTCTGAGCACCCTGGTCTAGTTGTCCCTGCTCACTGCAGGGGAGTTGGACTAGATGACCTTTAAAGGCCCTTTCCAACCCAAACTATTCTATGATTCTATGATGTATCAGGTATGCCCAGCATGCAACCTCACCTGCTTGCTTGCCAAGTTAACAGGGATCTGGCTGTTTCTGGGCTGACAGGCTGGAAAGTTTTGTTATGAAAGTCTTAAACCAAAATTTGACTGTTCACAGCCCTTACAGTTTGCAGCACATTCCTTTGCATTTCCAGCTGGTGGTATTTTCTCTCTTTCTTTCTTTCTTTTTTTTTTTCTTTTTTTTTCTTTTTTTTTCCTGCTGTTCTAATTAATGAGCAGCATGTACTGCAGCACGTTAGAGAAGTGTACTGGCATCTCTTCCCAGCAGCATCTCCTGCCTGTAATTGCTGCAATTAGTTGAATTAGTAAAGCAGACCATTGGGGAGAGTCTGTGGCAGCCTCTGGACACCGGCTGTAACGTTCTTGCACACAGTACAAAATTACCCCAGCTCAGCAGCATCCGCTCAAACCATGGCTTCTGCTGAAATTGTCTCCCTTGTCAACTTTTCCTTGCAGAAAGCTGCCTATTCTGCTGAGCAGTAGTATCAGTGGGATGACTCCTGAAACAAATCAACTAAAAAGTTCATCACCAGGCAGGAAGCATTGCTTTAATCTCATTCCTCAGGAGCAGGGCAGCTCTACTTCAGTACACTGTACTTTAGTACTCCAGGTGAATATTCCTGGGAACCTCCCATCATGACAAGCCTTCCAAATCCTTACTGCTGGAAAAAAGACTCTCCAGCTTTAAATAAGGTCTCCTTTACATTCCTATGTCTGCTATGACTGTCTCCAACATGCTGCACGTTCTCTCTTCATTTTGCGTAAGCATTTTGAGGTCTCAGCCTTTTCTTTAACCTCCTGTGATCCTAGCGCTAGGAAGTCCCTCTGTCCCCTGCCAGGAGGTCCTTGCTTTCCTCTCTCTGTTTGTATTTGAGCTAAGGAAAAAAACTAGAACTGAGCAGTCAGTCAGAAAGACCAGATTGGAGCTGACATTCCTTCACTCTTCATTTCAGTGGCTTAGAGTGAGCCAAGAAAGAAAAATAGGATCAGTCAGCTGTAAATAAAAATTTTAAAAACAGAGTATCTGTAAAAAATCAGCTATGAAGTAACGGAATCCCTATCATACGTGTTACTCAATCTTACCCTGGTACTGCCATTTGGCAATATTTTGTAGGATGCAGTCTTGCAGTAGTCTCATGCTTAAATATCTTCATTAAATACCTTCATAATCTTGCCTCAATGGGGAGGCAAGATTAAAAGGAACTGGAGATAACATGTACAAAGCAATTTCCCACCTTAAATGCTAAGGTAATATTTTTAGCATCTTCTTTCAGTCATAGAAAACAGAAGGACACTGTTGAAACCCTGGTGACTTCTCTCTTAAAACAAAATGGCTTTAAAAGTTTGTCTGTTCGGTGAGAGGTCAAGAAAGGAGGAATGCACAAAATACAAATTTACTTTCTAAAATTCTTCTGGTCCTGTCACATATATTTTATAGAGCATTATTTATCCTGAAGGACACCAAATCACTTTATAACTTATACAAACAGTGATCACATCCTCCAGCAGTGAAATGCAGCTGTCCCTGGGTAGAAAGATATTAGTTTTTAATTGCACCACTGCAAAGTAATTTAGCACAATAAGTCAACAAAGCTATACTGCAAGAAATTTTTTTAAGCAGGTGAAATGTAGCTAGTAAAACTGGAAATTTATATTACAGTTGTCTAAGGCACTTGTAAAAGAGTGTTAAGGACAACACTGTGAATAAACAATAAATTATCCATCACTACTAGAAGACCTTGCTCAGAACTGCTAAGACCCTGGCAATTGGGTTTGATTTCCAGGTTGAATTTAGAGCATGTGGATTTTGCTCTTAGTTGACGATCTGGCAATTCATATGTAGGGTCTCATATAAGAATAGTGATGAATTGCTTTGAGCAGGAAATAAACATAAAAATTATAACAATGTGTGATTGTCACTTACCAACTGCTACACCTATCCACTTACCCATTTACTTGCTCGTGTCTAAGGGCTTCATGCAACATTAACTTGGAATAAGATCCAATTGAATTGACAATGTGATTCAGTATTTGTAAAGATTGAAGGGTTCTTTTACAACTCTTTTTTTCCTCTTGCCTATTAGGGGCATCATATGAAATCAAAAAGGTAGCACGCCCAGAAAAAAACAGGTGGTATTTCTTTATACAATGTTTGTTTGTTTGTTTGTTTGTTTTTTTAAACTGGAGAACGCCTTGCAACAGGATAGTGGTAGGTAATAAAGGTTGGGATGCGTTTTGGAAGTGACTGGCCAAATTAAAGGTAAAAACATCCAACCAGAGCTATTAAATACCCCATGCCTAACTTGGGAAGTCCCTGTGCTACAGACACTGAAGATCAAAGAAGTATCACTATTTGCATTGTCCTGTTCAGGACTCTCTCCCCGAGGCCCCATGCATGGCCAGGGCCAGTGCTGGGCGAGGTGAGTCTCTGCCATCTCCCAGCCACTCTCGTATGTGACAGATCCTGAACATTGGGCGATGAAGAATTTTGAAGCCAAGATGAGTTCTGAGCAGGAGCTGAGTCGTGAAGTCATGAAGCATGGCCCTTGCCTATCTTCTTAATCAATTTCCCATTTAATAAGCAGCTTAAGGGCAGCACATGCAACATATTTATGCTGCAGTCTTAGGTATGTGTTCTAGATTTCCTTCTATAAAATCCTCATGCAGCTTCTGTTGGTTCTGAATGCAGAAGGGCACAGCCAGCCAGACTCAGAAAAAATGCAGATGTGTGATGTGACATGCTCACCAGCCCTGCCAAGTCTGACTGGTATCTGCACTTTTTCATGACTGGTTCCACACTTGATTCTATCAATTAATCTCTGTCCGTTTCTCCCCATCTCCACTGCATGCTATTTCCCCTGATATTCCACTTTTTCTTGCTCTGTGATTGCTGTTTGTCCCATGCTGCTGATTTTGTATGTATAAAAATGAGGGTTAGAAAAAGAGAAGAACCTCCAGAAGTGGTGTTAGACTTAAGTCAAGGTCATTAACAAGATCCCTAGAAACCACAGAAAAGATAAGTACACTAATCTGTCTTGCCATTTCCTATCTTGTATTTTTAATCTCAGTACTTCCCATCACAATTCATCACTAACTGATTTTCTAGTTCCATCACATATTGGTTTTCCATGCACCTTCCGCTCAGATACCAACGTCTGAATCATCCCAGAGGAATAAAGCTATTTCAGTGAGAAATAGAGGCAAATTCCTGACCACAGAAACAGTCTCGAGGAAACTTCCAGAAGATCATAACTTCTTGAAACTGGAATCTGTACCTTTCAAAACTCTCTTGGAGCTGAGGTTTTTCTCTGGATGAGTATTAAACTTGCTGCTTCCACAAGACAGCAACGGCTAGTGAGCAGTGACCCCAGAAATCTCTCCACTGATATTTCTTCCCATCAGAAACAGCTCACTGTGAGGCAGTAAGCAAACCCAGCTATTCCATTGCCAGTTCCCTTTCCCCATTTTTGAAATGGGGCTGATTATACTCACCCGTTGGCCCCAGGGGAGGTAAACAGATTAATTGTTCAGTGTTTGCCCAGTGATCTAGAAATGGTAAATGCTAAACATTCTTATGTACAGGCAACATGATAGTAATGAAACTTGTCCGTATGCTATGGGGGAAACAATGTTTGT